TGTTATTCATAAGCAGAAGTTGGCAACTTTTTTATTATTTGTGACAATGCCTATAAATTATGAGCTGAAAATGTTAATAATATTTTACAATAAAGGAATATTCACTAAGCAAATTGAAAATCCGATCCGGTCATGTACAACCCCGATTGCCATAACATTTTGCTAAATATAACTTTTAAGCAATCTTTTAATAATCAATGGTTTTATCCGATAAGCTGTCAATCTTTCACCCTTTAAACTGGTTCAACTCAAGTGGCGAATTGAATGAATTTTTTTCATAATTTTTAAAAATCTGTCAGACGGAAGAGGTTAATCTGCCCTAATATAATTGTGGTATAGGAATTTTTTCTTTTTGTAATAAAAATAAAGAATACAAAAGGAACATGATAATAAAAATCAAATAAGGATATTGAAAAGGAAGAAGAAATTCTTATCCACTATTCTCAAATATTTGATCGTAATTTTTTTCTACAGTTTTTCAAAGAAAAAATTTTATCTACACGCATATACATATTATATGTATATATAGTGCTATGCCTAAACCATTTGTTCTAAATTTACGATTCAATGTGCTTTATGTGACCTCGTATAAGTATTTAAAGGATTTTATATATGTAAATTTTCTTTAATAATTAATATTTATGTATGTAAAAAGAAAAAAAAAAACCAAAATATTTAAAATAATTGTTAAATCCTTTTAAGGATATTTTAAGTTCTATTTAATCATAAATTTTTTAAAAAGATTTTTGAAATACAAAAATCTGCTAAGGCGAATTTTGCTCAGTCTACCTTATGACGATTTAAATAACTTAGTAATTCTAGTCACACTTTATTCATGAAAAATTTTTAAAATGATTAATTGAATTTAAAAATTTAAGAGTAAAATAATAGGAAAACGAGAAAAAATAGAATTGTGTGTGCCAAACTACTGTTGAAGTTGTATGGCAGGTACCAGAAGGTGTCAAGTAATTTCAACGACTTTTATGGAACACATTGGCCCTACCAATTTATTCATTTGTGTAAAATTTTAATACCACAGCTTTTAAAGTTTCTGAGATATAACTATTATATCTCAGAAACTATAATTTTGATGTTGCATGGCAGCTACCCGAACCAGTACCCTGATCATCTCCAATTTAAATAGGGTTCTGGTACTTACTACAATAAATCATTTGTGAAATTTTGGTGAACTTAGCTCAATTAGTTTTTAATTTATCGTTGGGGCGGTTAGACGGGCAGACAAAGCTAAATCAACTGAGAATTCGACGCTGATCAAAAACATACACTTGAGTCTATATCTCGGAGCATTATTTCTTAGCGTTACAAACGGTGAGGCAAATTTAGTATACCCTTCGAACATACATTTGTACGGGTATAAAGGGAGAATAAAGGGGCTCTACTCTAAATATCGAATCACTGGATTTTATTCTAAGCATCGAATTACTGGGAATTGTTCTAAGTATCGAAAGACTAAGTAGTAGTGTTATTTGTAATTTCCAAAAATTTTATTATAGATACGAATCATTTTTATATGATAATTAAAATTACTTTTTACGAGAATTATTATCAATATCACTTAGTGATCCGATACTCAGATTTTTAGACGCTATAACTTTTAGAGGCAGATAAATAAGAGCTTTCTTTTTAGAAAAAAGTTTTCAGTGAAGATTAATTTGTGTAGAAGTTTTGTAAACAAGGACGTGGACAGGTGGACGGACAAACATTTCGATTTTTTACCAAATTTAAAAAAAAAAACTTAAAAATCTCGAACAAATTGAAAATCTATCGTCTAAACTTAGAATGCAATGGAATTACTTTGCATCTTAATAACTTTAGTTCCATATTGCAGTAATAAATTGTTAAATTCAATTTAATCCTGAATTTTGAAATAGAAAATTTAAATAATTAGTGCATTGTGGAATTATTTTATTTAAATATTTTCAAATTTACCAAAAAGCTGGAAAATTTTTTCATTACCAAAGCATAAAGTTAATAACAAAACTGCAAACATTTTTCTCTTTAACATAATTTTTAAAATCTAAAATCGTTCTACTTAAATTGATTTTCACCGAAACAAAAATATTTTAATCAGTTTGGTTTTAATTCCTCTGACTTTTTTATCGTATATCAATTTAAAAACCAAAATATAAGGTTCAATACTAGTTAAGTACTTTCAATAGTATTAATTTTGATGACAAAAAGAAAAAAGAAACTAAAATCTACTCACAGTTTGTACTCAGTTATAAAACAAACTGATAAAAAGTGATTGTTCACATTTTTTGTATACTTTTAATCCTCTACCTATTTTACAATAAAAAAATAAAAGGATTTTTTTTTTTAAATAAGCATTGACCAAAGGATATTTTACTGATCAGCTTACGGATTTTCTACTTTTTTTATTCGCGAAATTTTTTGTCGAATTTCTTCATCTTGTCATTCTGATTTTTTTATATTGGTATTATGAAAATTGCGTCAACTGCTTTTTATTACTCCCAAAGTGACAAACGGGAAATAACAATTAAATATAGATGCATGAGCAAGTGAATTATTCAGCGTAATATGTTACCGTTACTTAATTATGTATCCTACGCATATACATATAATGTACCTACATGAGTAAGTACTAAATAAATCGAGAAAAAGTGGAGTAAATCATTATCCTATTGGCGAATTCATAATACCCCCTTCAGACATCCGCACGAAAATAATAGTTTCTGATTACTACATCAATTTATGCAAATATAATTTCAATAGTTTCTAAGATATAGCCAAATAACTATTAAAGCTTTATAGCAGCTACTACAAGAAGTCAAGAAATTTCAACGATTTTTATCATACCTACCAGCTCTAGTAATATATTTGCTTGTACGAAATTTCGTTACTATAACTTTAAGATTGTCTCAAATATAGGTAAATATCTCCAATAGGGTCCAATTTCAATAAAGGTCCCGGCATTTACTATCATAAATCATTTGTGAAAAATTTGGTAAGTTTAGCTCAATTAGTTTTTGAAAGTGATGGACAGACATTATTAAATTCACTCATAATTTCAAACTGATCAAAAAGATACACCTGTGTCTATAACTCAGATTATTATGACTCTTAACGTTAGAATCGGTAAGGCAAATTTATAACACCGTACGGGTAATATCAGCATAAATATATAATAATAAACCCTAACACATTACAAAAAAACAAACAAGACTATAGAATAGGGTTATTTTTTCAAAGCAATTTAAAAAAAAACTCCAAAAATTTTAACTAAAATTTCATAACTCTCGTATACGAACAATTATTTAAAGCAGTATTATAAATTTAGCAATCCATTTATAAAGTTAATTATCCGTTTTGCAATCTAATTATTTATATATTTGTTATAAATAGGAACAAACTATATTTTATTTGCAATTAATTGAAGTACTGATTTAAGTAAACTGCCATACAACTTTTAAAATATATTACTTTTACCTTGAACAGGCTACAAAGTGTCTAACAGCTTTCAAATTTTGTTTAAATGAATTTGGTAACAAGACTAAGTCTACTAGATGCTAAAAAATTATTTTAATGTTAAGAAGAACCATATGAGAGGTTTTATATAAAACTGTCATATAAGCTATCTTATAAAGAATATATTCATATACAAATATCACAGAGTTAACACGATCAACTTTAAATTTTCTCGTTTTTATTTTATAATTAAAATATAATTTTAATGGTTTCCTTAAAAAATTATTTAAAAACTTTGTTAATAAACTTTCTTTATTATGTAATTCAATATTTTAACAAAGTTAACAGGTTTTTGGACTCATATTCTTATTTATCATATACATATATGAAAATATATTTTTATATTGTATAAACATATGCATATTTATTTGTTAGTGTTATGTGTTATATACTGAAGAAATGAAGTATTTATATTCTTAATTAGCATCCCTTGGCTTACAAAATGCAGTAATACGGTATTAATACACAATTCAGCAATTCACACTTATAAGCTGAATTGTGTATTAAAACCGTATAAACAATTCAGCAATTCATACTTGTAAGCTGAATTGTGTTTTAATACCGTATTACTGCATTTTGTAAGTCAAGAAACTTGTATTAAATTTATAAATTGTAAACCATGCTGCTGTTCATAGTTATTTGAAGTAAATTAGATCACCATCCATTTCACTAATCTAGTTCATCCAGTTCAGTTATATCTTGAGCATTAATCATTGGTCAGAAAATATAACAATTTGCTAGGAACTTTTTAGCATAATTACGTATATAGTAGATTGGTTTTTATCACGTTCGTATACACCTATGTAATTAGATTACTAGAAACAACAAATTTATTTTGGTTTATTCTACCTTCAATAACGAAAAACAAATTGAATCATATTTTGGGTTCTCTAAAGCAGCACATTTCACTTTACTTATCTACTAAATCGTCTAATGTGCGCATATATATGGTTGAACAAATTAACAAAATTTTAATAAATTCAAATATTATCATATATACAGGGTATTTCAAAGATGCTACCAAAAAACTAAATTAATTTTAAAATATAATTAAATTTTGTGAAACTACTATAAACTGTTATACATAAATGTTATACATAATACATAAATGTATTTAGAACATTGGGCCTACTATTTCGACAAAATAATCTGCCAAAATTACAAAATTTACTCAAAAAAATTTTTTCTTATACAAGGGTAAAAACACCCTCTATATACTTTTAAAAAATGAACAATTCTAACACTTATTATTTATTCTCTTATCTTTAATATGCAAATATTTATTTTATTCTCACTTTAATTTTGAATCTTGTATAAAAGTAATAATTAAGAATTTTTCATTAGCTTCTTGTCACAATATTTTAGAATTATATTCCAAAAGTGATATGAAAAATAAATAAAATAAATAAGATTTTCTTATCTAAATATCAAAAACTTAAGATAAACCACTTTAAATTTTTAGTATTTTTAATTTGTTTTGTAATAAAGCGCCATTGTTAATAATTATGAGTTGCATTACACATGCTCGTTACAAATTACGAGTTCAAGAGGTACTTATCCATTTTTAGTATAAAAATCATAATAAAACTCATTTAATTTTCATAATTACTAAAAACCATTTACAAGAAATTACAAAAAAATTAATAAAATTTAAAATTATAACAAAATGCATTTTTTATACATTATTTTAATAACAATTTTTATAATTATACAGGGACCAAATTTACAAAAAACTGCAGCAAGAATGTCAAAAATAACAATTTCAACTCATATCTTAGATACCTCAAGGGGTTTAGCTGCTGATAATGTTCCTGTTACACTCTATAAATTACAAGAGACAACAAATGAATGGAGAAAAATAAGTCAATCTGCAACAAATGATGATGGAAGATGTCCAGAATTAATAATTGCCGAAGAATTTGAACCTGGTTATTATAAATTAAATTTTGACACAAGTGATTATTTTAAACGTTATCATACAAGATATTTATATCCATTTGTTGAAATAGTTTTTGAATGTGGATCAAAACAACATTATCATATTCCATTATTACTTAATCCATTTGGTTATTCCACATATCGTGGAACATAATTATTATACTTTACAATCTCAAATTCTCAATATACTTATATGTATGTATGCATATATGTGTGTGTAAAAAATATTAAATATAAAATAAAATTAAACATTTTTGTTGCTATTTTCTAATTCGGCTTTTATTTCAAAATATTAATTTAAACGTGTATTCAACAGCAGTGTTCCCACTTGGATACAATTGTATCCATTTGGATACATTTTTTGCTTTAAATTTAGCTTGGATACAAAGATACTCAAATCTGATAAAATGCCGAAATTGGCTACATTTCAAAATTTTGCTGAAATATGGATACATTTATTCTCTAAACACTAAATAAATGTTACAAAACTGTTAAAATGCTGCTAATATTAAAACGCGTAATTGCTCTATCTTTCAAAAGTGTTATTTGCTGGCATTTCTAAGCAGATTTCCGAGTTTACTAGAAGAAAGTAAGAAATCTGCTTTATTAAATGAGTGCTGCCTCTTCCTGTATTCAAATCTAGAACATTTAGACAAGAACGTACCAGAAATATTTTGGAGTAAGCTAGTTGTAATAGAAAATGCATTGGCTGTACATATTTTTTAAAATTTTTCCGTTTTAATGGTGAATTGTCTTTAGCACATAGTGCAACAACTACAGAAGGCATATATGCATTTGTTTTTTCTGACCTTAACTTTTAACACATTTAAAATATAATAGAAGTTGTATGTGATTTCTTAAAGAATTTACTATAAATAAAAAAACCAACAATAGGACGGCTTGGTATAAAAATTCTGCTTTATGAGGTTGGATACATTTTGGATACATTTTTTCCTCGAAATTGGATACATTTTGTTTTTACCAAGTGGGAACACTGTTCAACAGTTAATAATCAATTAGATAGAAAGTATAATATTGGCAAGAAATATTGTGATGAACCTTTATGAGTTAATTTAGGGTACACTATACTAAAAACTTGAGAACAATTTCAACTCACCATCAAATTATATTTGAAATTCTTCTGCAATACCAAAACAATTTTAAGCAAAGACGCAAACCTTGAACATGAAAAAAACGTTGTAATAATGGTGAAAAAAAATTATTATAGAATATCCACTTTCAAATATTTACAGTAAATTTACTACATTCATAAAATCAAATAACCATTAAAACAGTTTGACCAAATGCAACTTAATTATTTAAATTTTAAAAAATAAAATATTTATTTGCTAGTTAAAATTTAATCTATATTAAAAATTCCAAGTTCCAGCAACTTTCGAAATTGCAGTACTACAGTATTATTCAGCTTCAAAATTGCAATTCATTATTATATGCGAAAAAAAATTGCAATTTTTCATATCTACCTTTTCAATAAATTCAATAAATTGGAAAAAAAATAGAAAAATATAAAACAAACTAGCTCACATAACTATTCAGTATGAATAGTCTCAAATAAACTAAAAGAAAACACTTACTTTCCAAATTTTTTTTAATTGAATTTAACAGGATTTTATATAATTTCTAGTGTATGTATTATGTATAACCAATTCCTGTGAATTCAGCATTCAATGCTGACGCATCACAAACGCATATTTGTTAGTAGTACAAGGAATTCCAAAGTGACAGTTTACTTTAGTTTTCGTACAATATTGCCATTGTGAAATAAAAAAAAAGGCAAATAGTTCCATTCACCATTTACATAATATCAAATCGAAGCGAATTCGTTCAAAAGAATTTCGCCAATTTAGAGATTTTCGTTAATTTAGTTTTAGAATTATTCTAACTTATATAGATCGTTCGGGAATTTACTCGCTGTAATGAAATGTATTTGGAAATTATTTTTATTATACATCAAGTCTCAAATTTTCATAACAATGTCATATTGTATTTAAAGCTACTTCTTAGAAATCTAAGTTCCAATGTACTAGAACGTTTAGCGCAGAGTCCATATAAACAAAAACAGAATTTGGCGACTTTGTTATGCCTATATAAATTAATTATTTTAAATGGATTTAAAAACAAAGACGAAAATTATTTCAAATAAAATTTTTTTTACTTATTTTTAATATTTAATTAAATAGAAAAAGAAGTGTGTGATTTCTCATTTTTATATAATTATGTTTATATAGATTTTGTTTTTTTCTTTTTTTTTAATTAATTTTTTTTCCATTCATAAAACTAATTAGACTTTATTTAAATTTTTAAATAAAAATTTTTTTTCAAATTTTATTTTAATTTTTTTTTTTTGCTTATTTAATTTCTAGTTTTAGAGTTTTATGCTTTCTATTTTTAAACGTTAATATTTTTATATTAAATTTTATATTAATTGTTTATATATATAGATATACATAATTCTGTATACATTGAATTCTATTATAATATTTATAATAATACGAGTATATACGTATAAATTTATTATACTTATATAATAATAGTTATATAATATACAGTTATTTAATAAGTATAGATATCAACGAAAAAAAAAAATTAAAAAAGTAAAAAAAAATAAAATTTGACATTTGTTTTGACTTATCAAAATGTAGTTTGCATTCTTAGGCGGTTTATTATGTAAGGCGAATTCGCCAATAATTCTAGCAAATGTGGTCCAGTGTGTATAGCAATATGGCGAATTCGACAAATTTCTTTGGGAATTCCAGAATAAATCTGGCAAATGAATATATTATTTTCCATTTTATCCGTATATTAATATTTTTGTGTATGATTTTTTTTTTATTATGTAATTACATACAACGAAGATATTTGAGTTATTTTTAGAATTAAAATAGAAAAATTTTTGACTAAATTTCTACCATCTAACATTATTTTTTTCTTTGTTTTCCTTTAATTTATTGTAATTTTATTGTTTTATTACATTTTATAATTACTGTTATTTCTCTGTTTTTTTTTTTTGTTTTTTATTTAAAATTGTTTTATTTTTCTGCAATTTGTATTTTAAACTCCTAATATGTTTTAAAAGCTTAAAATTAAATAAACTTTAAGGCTATTTAGCTTGGTGTAAATATTGTAAATAACAATACAATATATATTATGTAGTTAAATTTTTTAATATAATTATAATATGATTTATAAATTAATTCAATTAAAATTTTAATTTTATAATTGTAAAAATAAATTAAATCACATTTTAATTATATTAATTTAGTTTATTTTTTTTGTTTTTTTTTTCTTTTTTAATTCATTTTATTGTAAAATAATCAAATTTGTATCGAATTACTGTTAAAAATTAAATAAAGACTTTGAAGGTTATGTTATTTGTTCGCCATTTTATTTTTAATATTTTAATATTTAAATAAATACCACTATCATAATTTTTCCGTAAATTGAAAGGCAAAATGCTATTTTTAAATTTTGACAGACTTCGAAGAAAGAAAGGCGCAATAAAATTGAGCATCTCTTGCATAAAGGCAAACGCTAATATGTTGGACATTGCCAAATTGCCAAAATTACTGTAGACAAAAAATCAAAAACTACTATAAAATGAAATATTAAACGAGAAATTAGAATTTCATAATGTCAACACATCGACTATGATTTCTGTCATCATTGTCACGAAGATAATGAACGAAAGAAATTTATTTTTATTGATTACAAAAAATTTTTAAAATATCTGAAAAATGAATAGGTTTTTTACTTTTCATTTAATTAATTATTCTCAAATTTTAATTCTAATTTAAATTATTAAAAATTAATAGATTTTTAAATATATTCAAATAACATTTCCTTCATCTTGAATTTTGTTTAATATTATTTTGTTCAAAAATTATATACGAAAAAAAACCAAACGAAATTTTGAAATTAAATTTACAATTTTTTTTTATCAATTTTATAACATTAAATTTTTAATAACTAAACGATTAATTTACAAATTTTTTGAGTGCATGAGGCTTCTTTTAGACATTTTTCAACGCATTTTAAAACTACAATAACTTTACAATACAAATACATTTATTTTTTTATTTTTTAATTAAATTTTATTTATTTGAATTTTGAATTTTTATTTTTTTTTTTAATTTATTAATTTTATTTATATATATAAGTGTACTTATATATACCAAAGTTTTTCTTAAATCTTTACAATTTATTCGCCGAAGTGAAGTATAAGAATGGCTTAAATAGATATTGCAGGAAAACCATTTTAAAGAAACATAAAAAGAATGAAAATATTCAGAATGCTTCATGTACAATACTTTTTTAAATTTACATAAATTTTAATAAAAAATATTTAATGTTTGACAAAATAAATTCAATTCTTTCAATATTAATAATTATAATAAAAACAATTTAATAATTATAACAATAGTTAAATGTGCGTTTACACTAAACGTTAAAATACATATTTTTCAAATTCGAAATTTGGAAAATTCTTGTACTGTTATATTAAACTATGTACTGTGAAATTTCGAATTAGAAAAATTAAATACACAATTATTCTTGTGAAAATATGAAATTAAATTATCTAAAATTAATTGAAATTGTTCAATTGACTCAAATTTATTTGTATGCAATACAAAAGGGAATTAAAAATAATTTTTTTAAAAATGAAAATTTTTTAATACTTGATTCACTTCACTTATAGTCAAAATCCGTAAACTATAAAATCCGTAGTTCACAGTTCAAATGCGTGTTGTCAGAGTCTCTTCAAAGTATTTTTTTAGATTAAACCACCTGTACTTTTCAAGATGCATCACATAATGTGTTTGTTATTTATAAAATTTTTACGTTTTTCAGAATAAAATCAATTTCGAATTTTAAAATCCTGTACTGAAAACTGAACATTTAAAAGAGATTTTAATTATCCAATCCCTTTTCTTTTTTAGTTTCTCCATTAGGAAATTATTTTAACGCAATTATGTTCTATAAAGGATTAATAAACTGACATTTACAAAAAAAAAAATCAAAATCAATGCATGCCATGCAACTTATTAAAGACTGAAAATAAATTTTTTAAAATTTTTTCATTTTGAAAAGACTTTCTTTACATTTTGTAATTGCTTATAATCACCCTAAGAAGCGATACTTCCCTTTGATACCGTTTGTGCATGTCGAATCGGTTATTACACAAAAAATAATGTATTCAGCTGCATTCTGTATTCTACTTTTTAGGAAATGAAATGGAAATTTGGCGTCCTACAATTCATAAAAATAATGATAAATAAAAATTAATAATTAGATATTTTCTCAAAAATTAACCGATATTTAAATATTAAAACTGGTTCAGGAAGATAAAATATATTTGTTTTCTCGCTTAAATGTCTTTCTCCTAATTTTTTTGATTTGATTCTCATCGTTAATTAGTAAAACAATTGAATCCATCTTTTATAATTCGAATTCCAAATTTGATCAAAAAATCTAAAAACAAAATTTAATAAAAAATTAAAAAAAATATTAACAATTTAGTTTAATAAGATGATTTGGAAATATTTCGAAATCACGTTGAATATAAAGCACCGGTTTTGAAATCGAATGGAATTCAATTTCACTTAGGATTCCATTCGTATAGAAATGCAGAATACGGCCGATTATTACCGGTTATTGAACTTAAATGAAACATTCTGTATTCTAATTTTCATTTTCATAGATTAGGTTTTATTTCGAAAAAAGTGATACATTATGGTACACATAACAGACTTTAAATTTTCTATGCTTACTTTTTTAAAAATTTGTTTTTTTTTTTTTATTTAATTTTTTTTTTTTTTTTGTTTTTTACCATCTTTATAAGTATGTCCTACAATTGCAATTTTAAATATTTTTGTTTTTTCTTTAATTTAATGTTTTTTTTCAGTTTAAAGGAATTTTCATATTTTATTTTTTTTTGTTGAATATTTTAGCTAGCCATCAGTTTTCTTTTTTTTCCTACATTTCAAAAATAAAAATAAAAAAAAAGGATCTCTTAAGTTTTCTTTTTTTTGTTTTTTGCGATTTTTTAAATATTTTTCAAGTTTTTTATTATCCTAAAAAGTATTTTTTTTTTCTTCTTTTTTTGAACTTGTCTCTCTAGTATCAAAAATGGCGAAATTTTGAATGTTTTAAATATTATACGGTTGTGTATACATGTTTTTTAAATTTTTTTTTTATTAAAGATATTTTTAAAAAAAAAATATTATACAATATAAAAAATTAAAAAACAATATTTCAATTATACAGATCTAGTATGTATATTGTAATAATGTGTATTTAATTCATTTATTCACTTATATTATTAATATTCGCAAATATAATAGCTAATCAGTACCTACAGATTTGTTTTATTACCAAAAAAAAATTATTAACAGAAAAATAAATAAAATAAATGGGAGGATGGAGGAAGCCTTTTCTTTTTATATATATTTTAAAGAGGAATACGTTGGGAGTTTCGATCGCCAAAAAAAAAAAATAGTAGAAAAAACTAATACGAACATCTTTTTAGCTTAGGCCTTAATTTCTTATACGTTCATCTTATACATATAGTTTTCATTATAGCTACTAATTTATTGAAGATATTTTATTATTAATTTTTTAATTTCAACTTTTATTAATTTATTAATTTTATTAATTTTCAAATACATACTCAAAATCATTTCAAAATATTAATTTAAAAATTACACTTACATACAAACATGTACAATAATTTTAATTTTGATAAGAAGTCAAAAAATTTGCATTGTGAACAAATATTAATTTTTAATAAATTTTAGCAAAAATTTAAAATTAGTTTATTGTAACACTGTTATTAATTAAAATATTAATTATTACAGTGGTAATAAGCTCTATACATAAAATTGAGAATAGTTGAAATTAATAATTTAAATATTTTCTATAAAATAATTTAAATATTTTAAATTCTTTATAATGTTTACATTACAAAAACCGTGTAAGTTTTCCAAAACTTAAGTAAGAAATTTTTTAAAAGTATTGCTATAATGAAAACCTTTAAAGTAGAAAATATGAGAGTCTATCAAAATGCAGATATAACGTAAATTTTTATTTATTTAACAATTAAATTTGTATTGCTAAATAAGTTGACATTACAATTTGATAATTGCCCTATGTTTTAAAATAAAATATGACCAAATGTGAAATATCATATTTTTTTTTTTAAATTGTTAACATAAGCAATACAAAAACTCTTAAATGGAACAATAACAGAACAGAATTACAAAACAGAATATTAAAATACATACTAATGTTTTTTAATATTAAATCCTCCATACCTTTTATCTGTAACAGAAATCGTTGTTATTAATTTTAAATTTAATCATGTCAGTGTTGAAGATGAATTTTAAATTTAGAAGAAAAATAACTTTTGTACTAAATTTATTTTCTTTATTATTAATAAATGATTTAGATTTTAAACCATATGAAATTATAAGCAAAGGTTTCTAAAATTTTTTCATTAAGTAGGGCCAGATATTTAATAATCAACAAATTACACAAATTTTGTTTTTTAAAAAAAAAAATAAAACACAAAATTAGAATTTTATTTTTCGGAAATACAAAACGGCACTTTTTTTTTTAATGAAAGCAATTAGCAACTAACTATGTAAGTGATAAAACAAAATAGCTCCAAAAATTTTCAGTCTGACAAAAAACGGTATAGAACAATATTTTCAATTAAACAATTTATTTTACAAAATTTATCGAAAAAAAAAAAACAAAAATAAGAAAGATTTTTAAGAAGAGAAAATCAACTGAAAATGAAATCTTTAATTTCTTTTGCAAAACTTTTTTATATTTTGTCTTGAATTTCTTCTGTTTTATTTTAATTTTTTGTTTTTTTTTTGCATTTATTTTTTTTTATAATTAATTAATTAATTAATTAATAATAATAATTAATAATATTGTTTCATATTTTTTTTTACTTTAATAATTTTTTTCATTACTTTTAAATTTAATAATTATTATATTTAATTTATGTGTTTTGTGTGTGTATGTGTGTTTATGTGTATTTTTCAAATTTCAATATATTTTTCTTCCTTAATTTTTTTAATGTTTTTTTTTTTTAATTTTTGATAATTTATTTTTTATTATTATATATATTTATATTATTTTGCTTTGTATTTTAATTAATATTAATTTAAATTCCATAAAATTTAATATATTGGCTAAAGATCATCTGACATAAACGAATTTTGTGATTTTATTTCCTCTAATCTTCGTAGTTGCTGACGTAGATACATAATTCTAAAATTAAAAATTAAATTTTATTAATTCAAATATTGCATGGAAAAATTATTGTATATTAATTTTATATTTATAAAATAAATACTATATTAAAATTAAAATATGAAAATATTAACATTATTCGAAATATATTGCATAATTTGAAAATTTTCATTAAAATTTGTTATATAGAAGAAACAAAAATTTGAATCGATTTCAATTTATTGCTTGTTAATTTTAAACTATTCTTCGGATATATTTTAGAATAAGTTTAAAAGCAAATCATAAATTATTTTTCAATAATATTATAAACATTTAATTTAAATAAATATGAACTACAACATTCACTTATGCTTTTCGAAATCAGGTTATTTTGAAAAAATTATCTATTATTAATTTTGTTTAAGATTAAAAACCTTGAAGAAAATATTCCCACATATCAAAAACATATAAGTTTAATGAAGTCTTAGTTGACTTTAATTTTAACATCATTCTGTTCAGAATTACAGTAAAAGCAAATTTTCTTCAACATTTGCTACTCCTCTAGCTGGAATTGTCAATATTATTTTTAAAATTGGTAACATTATGCATTAAATACTCTCAAATCAGGAAACCTATATTGAGAAATATACTTTTAAAGCATAATTTATCCTACAAGTACAAGAAAAAAAAATGAAACGTTAAAAAATTTATAAACAGACATATTTTCTGAGGGTAAACGTTGAAGAAAAACTAATTTTTTTAAGTTTTGCATTATTAGGCAATGTGATACTAGGTATGTACTACAAACTTATATGCTTACTTTTGTTCTTGAAGTGTTGCTTGGATTTCAGTAACTCTAACTAAGCTTCTAGCACATTTTAATTCAGCTGATACTTTAGTGCACTGTATATCCCCGTACAAATGTGTTTCTTTTGAACATTCTTGTGCCTATAAATGTAATCAAAACAATGAATTAAAATAAAAGTAATGTTGTATTATATGGTTTACTTGTTTTTCTAAAATTTCAGCTGGCCAATTTGTTACATGTGTAATAAGATCAGGTCTAAAATACTTTGCTAATTTTGGTGATATTTCAGGTCCTTGAGAACGACCTGCTGCTGATGAAACACAAGATGTTACACAGCTTTGCAGGCTGCTTAAAGACGCAGAAGTCGGTTCCACTAAAGATTAAATATTTAGATATTTTAATAATAAAATTTAAGTAATAAATAAATAAAAGTTTTCTCACTTTTTCTTTGCTCTGTACTACTAGAACTAATATCTAATTCTTGTGTAGGTGTCGGAGGTCCGCCGCCACCTGCTACCGCTGTTGTAGTTGTATTTATTTCAATAGAAACATTCGATAAACTAGATATTGATCCTAATGAAGAACCAGGCATACCAACTACTGCCCCAGAGACATTTGCACTAGGATTGACCGCGTCAACAGTCTTAACCCCATACGTTGAATTGCATGTATATTGGCCAGGGGTACTGGCAGTGCTAACGGATAACATTTGTGTATTACATGTACTAATAACAACATTTAGTTGACTTTTATTATGATTAACAGATGCCATACCATGTGTTAAATTATAAAGAGGTGAATTTAAAGAGTTTTCCCTGCAAAATAAATTAAAATTACAATATTTTGTTTCAATACAATAACAAACTTTTGCAAACCTCAAATTCACATTATTGGACACATTATTTGGATCCGGCGAACTCAAAACTTGGGTTTCATGGCAAGGAACTTGCATTGAGCTCAAAACACCATGGTGCGATTGCGGTGGTTGGGCTTGTCGCAATAAAACTTTCTGTGGATTTAAATCGACTTGCTCCAAAGATTTAATATTACTGTTAACGATTGCTGTAGCGGGAGTAACCAACTTTGTTTGGGGCGGCCCAGGTGCATTCGAATTTAAATGATGATCTTCGCCAGAATTCGCTACAATTAATGAAGATTGTTGCGGTATTTGTGTATGGTGCAAATGCTGTTGCTGCTGCGGTTGTATTTGCTGTTGTTGCTGCTGCAATAACTGTTGCTGCTGTTGTAGTTGCAACTGTTGCTGTTGTTGTTGTTGCTGTTGTTGCTGCTGCTGGTGCTGATGATGATGATGGTGATGATGTTGATGTTGTGGAGGCTGCTGTTGCTGTTGTTGTTGTAACTGCTGTTGCTGATGTTGATGCTGTTGTTGTTGATGCTGCTGATGATGAATTAAATGATTACTAGTCGCATTTGCAACAACATGGGTGGGCGATGATATTGATACAATGTTAGACTGTTGCATAACTGAATCTAATTTACTACGATGGGAGCTACTATTCGTCGTACCGCAAATGGAACTGTTGCTGCTACTACCACTACTACTAGTATTGCTACCCACTACAACAGCCGCCTGGCTTGTAGCAAAATGCATTTGAGAATTTGACGCTACAGGAGGATGTGAAGCTACCCTTGGAAGAGCGTTAGCTAACAAAACTGGTTGTTGTACAGAATTGGCTGAACTGATATTTGTTACAGCTATTTCGTTTAAATGAGTTGTTGGCGTTCCCGTTAACGAGTAACTAGCTTCTGAAGTTGGCGTTGAATCTCCGGGACTTATGTCCATATCGGGATTTTCTAAAACAATTGAGTTGTTATTTTTGGAATTCATTGCGTAAAATTAAGTTATTAAAGAAAGTAACAGTACCTTCGTGACGTCTTCTATGGGAAACTTCGTTTTCATATTGCCACCTTTGTCTCGAATTATCTCGGGAACTGGAATGTTTTATATAGGCTGCAGCTATATTGACAAAGGAAACAGAAACATACGAGAAATTAGTAATACAATAGAGAACAATTTTATACGTAAAAACTTTTCTTTTAAAACTATAATTTTCTTAAAAAACTTGTAGAAGATAAAAAGTAGTTGTAAGAATTCAAATATTTATATTAACAAACATAAATTTTCAATTCTAATAAGGTTTCATTTTGATAATTTTTTGGTAATAAGCTAAAATTTTCACTAATGTAACATCATCACATCAATGCGAAAATAACGTGCCGATGATTGATCATCATGCCCTAGTAGCTGCATATATAAAATCAAACTAAAATATTTGCCACGTATAAAAATGTTCAGTTCATTCGGGAAACAAATTATTAAAGGTGTAACAAGAATTTCGAAATAAAATCTAAATGTCATTTTAAGAACATGACTGTGTTAATCAATTCAAAAAGAAGTTGTAGAAAGCAAATGTGTAATTCAAAATATATATGTGGAAAGTATTGAAAACCCCAATAAATTCTGTGAATGGATTCGCTGCAATTAAAATCCGAAAATCAGCTTTTTCAAACCGGCTTCCATAATCTTCTATTGAAATAGAAAATCTTCATATTGAAATAATTAAAGTAGAAAAATTAATTTCTAAAGTTATACATCCCTTCCAGAAAATTAAAAATTCAAAGCGTTCTCAAAGCCATAAAAGATTCAAAACCCTTAAGCTAGTATTAACATACTTACATGACCTTGAAAAACGATCTTCTCTATCTCTTTCCCGTTCCTTTTCTCTATATTCTCGCTCTCTGTGCTGGTCTTTTATCAACGACCTAAAATTTGTATAAATATGTAATTAATTTTTTTGATTTGTAAAAACTTTCACTTACCTTTCTTTTTCTAACCACTCCTTTGGTTTTTCCCATTGTGATACTTCAGTTTTGCAATTATAATAATACATTTTACCTACAAACTTTTGGTTTAAGTAATTCTTAACGTTATTATACTTTGAATACTTTACCTGAAGAACTAACGTGTTCACTCCAGTCGCCGATTCTAGTTATTCTGTCAGTACCCCTATCATTTCGATCTCTATCTCTTTCCCGGTCTCTATCGCTTCTTTCACGATCCCGATCTCTATCACGATCTCCTCGATCACGATCATTTCGATCACGTTCATTCCCTCCTCTATCTCTTTTACTTTCTCTTATATCTCTATCCCGCTCTCGATCTCGATCACGATCTCGGTCATCCGAACCAGAACGTTTGTCAATTAAACATAATTTTGACCGTCTATCTAATCTATCATGATTCGTTCGATGTTCTGACTCCCTGTCACTTCCCCGTCGATCTCTTTTATCTAGAATTAGATTCAAATTTTAGATGAAATTTAGTTACACAGATATTTATGTCTGAAATAAATTGTTTGAAAAACATTAATTTTATTTGAAGAAATATACACATACGGTCCTTAATTACAATAGGATGTTCTTAATAACTAAATTATATCGAGTAGAACATATCCAAACTGAAAAGATTCAATACCACATAATAAAATGCACTTACCCGAATATTTATCCTTTTTGTAAATGTCTCTGTCACGGTCACGCATTTTTTGTATATAACTAGGTCGGTCACCACGTTCTCTATCCCGAAAATCGTGTCGTGGTGGAGAGTCTAATTCTCTAGATTGTGAGCGATATGAACCATTATTCATAGATGCACTACCACCATTGCCACTTCCTCCTAATCCACCAGAAGATGAAGGAGAATCACCTCTGTCGCGATAGTTAGATGATCTTGATGTCTCACGTTCATAGTCACGTTTTGAATATTTTGAACTCTGAAATAGGAAGTTTTGTTTTACTAACACTTTCATACGTATCTTATGTTATTTATTATTCAGTATTGAATACTTTATATTTATTGCAAATAAAAGACATTTCTCAAATGAAATAGGATAGTGTGTATGAATATGATCTTTCACACCATTACCAATGTTTTACTTTATGATACTTCCAAAAAATTTAGGCCATTTACATATAGAAAGTAAATACATACTTATGTAGGAAATTTAAAAAAAATTGAAGATCTGTAGAGTTACTTGAAAAATAAATCTTAAATAAATTTCTTCAATTTGAAAAAAAATTCAACAAAGTTCTTACTGAAATACAATTATGCTTGCTTAAAATTAATTTACCTAACCCACATAGGCTTAAGCAGTAAAAGAAAATGCCCCTTACCCCATACCTATTTTACAAATTTTCTATCAAAAATTTTTTTAATAAGTACATAATTTCTAGACCCAGAATTCATTCTAAAATCATTATTACCTGATAAGGATGGGTCTGATGCTTTTCAAAAAACCTGGAATAAAGAAAAAAAATATTAATTAATCTTATACGATTACAATTTTTTGATTAAAAAAAGTTATGAAGTATGTAACTCGAAAAAATATTTTTACCCATCGCTCATACGTTGCGGTTTTCTAGCATGCATTACCATCAATGCAATTATTATTATACAGAAATTTTAAGATTATTATAAAATTCCCGTCAATTTTTAATTAAAATCTAAAATTTTCTTCAAATATACAATTTTTTATGAAAATTTTCTCTTGAAAAAAAAAAATTATATTTCCTATAGGTCTCCCAAGAAATTTTTCTGTTGAATGATTTTTCGGTCATAAATCTCCCATTTAAATCTTGCATATGATTTGAAAATTTTTTTAAAAAACAATTTCTAGTGTATTCAATTAAATTTCTATAATATTTTAACAAGATTTCCTTAATTAAAAATGGATGAAAAACTATTTAAATTATAGAAGAATTTCTAATTCCTGAATTTGTTCTCCGACGCCATGTCAAAGACTTCCCTATAGTATTACCAGAGTACACTCAACTAGGTACTATTTTTTGAATTTTATTTTCGACATGCTCCTAATTGTAAAAATGTCAAAATTTTTACATACACTTTTCTGCCCAAATATTTGCCAACAGGATTTTCATCTTTCATAATTCAAAATAAGTTTAGCTCTGTTCGCGTGTTGATGGAAATTTTTTTAATTTTATAATGTTGAAGGCTTTTGATTAATTTGGCATATTATTTTATATATAAATTCATAAATATATGTAATAGTATTTTTATTTATTTCTGAGTTTTCCAAGTGTTATATTCTAGTTTTGACTTTACATGAATATTTTTAACCTGGTAATGATGCTGTAATCATGACGGTTTTTGACAAATATTTAATGTGACATGACTATTTGGGTGCGTTTTTAAGCTGCGAGAATTTCAGGGTTGTCCTGATCTTATGCAACGCCTTTATAACAAGCATTCTATGAAATTTTAATTTGTATGTACTAATATAATATGTTGTGAAATTAATGTGAAACAATAATCTGACCATTTTGGTGTAGAATAAATATTCCAAAAGCATTAGTGGAACATAGTTTAGATATCCACACACCATTGCAATTTACTTCTTACAATATTTTGAGTAAGAACTTAAGGGATAAGTCAACTCATAGAAGCTTAAAAGTCTTGGACATCTTGGATTTTGACTAGATAAGTTACATAGCAGCTTAAGAACTTGATTTGAAATCATCTGGAAACTAAGCTACATTTTTACTATGTCAGCTTGAAAGGCCGAAAGTGAGGCTAAGCTATTACATATGAAGTCATTATTAATATTTCAAGCTAAGAAAGCAAAATTTTATTGGCTTGAATCAAGTTATCAATATTTTGCACATTTAAGTAATTAAATAAAGACCGTGTAATGCGCTGTTAATTTTTATTTTCTAAACGCTTTCATTTTGCGAGGTTTAAGAACTAAAACATAAACAAATAAATTTTTAAATATATTTTTGAATAAAAAAAATTAAAACAAATGCGTGATATAAATGCAATTTTGAAATTATTTGCTAAAGAATACATCATGGATTATTGTGAGGATTTCGATGTTATTAAAGGTATCCTCGAATATTGTGACCAGCATGTTAAAAAATTCGAAAAGGTGCAATTTCGGGGAGGTAAGATTCACTTAAAAAATAAAATTGCGTAAAATGATTGAATTTGCTTTTTATATAATCAAATTTTCCAGGTAATGAAAAGATTATCGACGAAATAGTCACACGTGTTCAACGACATTTTGCCGAAAAGTCTTACACTGACGTTCATCATTTGCCGAAAGCCGAAAGTGACTTAATCCTTCGTAAAATTTGCTTCTTCCTTATTTTAAATACCGATTCAAATTTCAAATACAGTTTAAAAGATGATATAAACTTGGCACATTTATTAGAAGTAACACCGCAATTATCAAAATGTCTATTATCGAATGTTGTATGGGGCTTAAAATTAGACAAATATTTCTGTGAAATTATACAATACTCGCCTTCTTGGTTTGCTCTGCAATTTTTAGAGCATTCTATTCATTCTTTAAAGTATATAAATGAACCCTACGAAGTGCTCGTAAAAGTTGAGAATCTCGTTAAAGCTATATATGGTAATATATGTCGATCTGATTATCGTCAAATTGATTCTGTAGAAAAAAAAATAATTTTTAATAAATTCTATGATTTTACAATGGATTTATTGAGACAATTTTATACCCCTGATGCTGAAAAATTTACTCATTTTACAAAAAAACAATTTTTCAAATATTCGGGTTTCGCATTAAGGCATTTGCTAGATATTATAATTTTTGCATTTGATGGATTCGAAATCAAATTCGAAAAATCTGAAGATATATATGAAATTTTTGATATATGCAAGGAGTCTTGTCCAATAATTGAAAATAAATGTGTAAGCTATTCAAAACCAGTTGCTGAAATACAATCACAAATTATTACCTCCCTTTTGAGTACTTTACAATACAATGTTATGTTAGTAACAATAGATGTTTTTATGTATTGGGTTGAAATTGATTTGACGGAGAGCATAACTTTGCAATCTGTAATAGGAGAAAAAGCTTATTGTGTTTTGGAACGAATGCAAAGTAATAAAAGTTTTGGTCATGATGTACAAGAACAGTTGCAGTTCATCGCAATAAGACCAAAAACTCTCAACGAAATTATAAAGGAGTCTACAATTGGAGAAATATTATGTAAACTCGATGAACTTCTTGAATACAATGAAAAAAAGGCTTGGTAAAATAAAATACTTAAATTGTATGAGTATTTAATAGCGTATAATTTTCATTTTAGGTTTGATGAGCTTCTTTCACGTTCGATATCGTTTGGAAACGACGAATGTCTAGAAACTATTCGTGCCAATTCAAAACTTATAAACGTAGAGAACATAATTCAAATGATTGATTTTTTACATTTGGAAATGCAAACAAAATTGTCTCCCGAAAATGAAATTGAAACTTGCGAAAATAATGTTAACCAAGACTTACTAAAAATTCTTGTTAAATCTTTGGATAACTTTAATGCAGAACAATTACTGCAAATATGTTCCTACGCAAAAGAGAAATTCGGTTCTGATCATAGTTTTTTTGAGCAGGAAAACTTAGATGAAAGATGTACAGAATTTTTTAATAAGTATAATGAGAGTTTCGACACACAATTATTCTTACAATTTTGTTTTGAAAATCCAAGGTATGTTTGGAGGAAATTTTTTGAGGTAGCATGCAATTCTGATAAACAAGTAGGAAACTTTTGCTTAACAGTTAAAAGAACTTTGAAATACTCAAAAACTTATTTTGAAAGCTTATTCAAGTCTTCGTTCAATTCTAATAAGTCTGATGAAAAATTTTATCCAAATTTAGTAGCAGAAGCTTACTTCCAAATATACTTCGAAAGAAAATGGGAATTCTTTAAAGAATTTATAAATAAGAACTGCACAGATATTTTAAGCTCAGAAAATTTTATAGATTTAATACCAATTTTAAAAGCTTTGAATATTATAGCTAGCAAAAATGTTAAAGAATTAGGTCAGAATACTTTAATATTTGGAGAAGTAACTGCACCAGTTCTTATTATGGCTGCTCAAATAATGGAAAAATGCCGTTGGGATTTGATAAGTTATTCCGATATTAAAGAAGAAATTGTTAGAACATGTATAGAATTCATTACAATTGTTTCTAAAAAGTTTTTACCAGTCGCAACCGACAAAGGTACATATAAAAATTTCGTAAAAAATAGTAAAGCTCTAAATATGAAATATATTTTTTAGATAAACAATGGATCAATAAAACTATTCGTAAATCATACAGACCTTTAACACAATATTATTTTCAAAAATTTACTTTAAATGCCGGTGAAAATCCCAAGTATTTTGATAGATTTTTGCATCCTGAAAAATTTGAAACCAGTACAGAAATTGAAAAATTTTTAATAAGTGTAAGATATTATTCTGATTTTAATAGATATTATGTAAGTTATCATTATTTTTTAATATTTTAGACATATGTAAGATGTACAACAAAAGAAACTGAATGGTTAGCAAAAAATGAACGACTTCTCAACCATATATCAGATGTTATTTTATTATTAAATGGTATTGTTACAGAAATGGGAGAAGATGGTGTATTTGCACATTATCGTTTTTGCATTTTAAATTATATTAATATTGTTAAAAAATTTTTATTACCAAAATTAACAAATGACTCGCATATTCAAGTAAGAGATTTAGGTTTCAAAATATTAAATATTATTGATTCATCACCAGCTGCCATATATGGAGAAATTTTTATGAATTTTTATTCAATTCTGTTAGACGTATTTCAAAAAGTTGAACCGATTGAAGATGAACTAGTAAAAGACGTTAAAAAATATGTTACATCAATGACAAATACAAAAGCTAAAGAGATTTTTTATGAAAAATTTCAATTAATGGCAGCTGAAAATAATGAATAAAATAAATAATTTACAAATATTTCAATTAAAAATAACAATAAACATAAATTTATATTAAATTATATAATCAGATCTTTAATGATATATCAGAGTTGTATGTGATTGAATTCATTATAGCAGTATTGATTAAATTTGTTATTTAAAAATAAAATTAATTGCAAAAATAAAAAATTGTCTGAATTATTGTAAAATATGTTGCAAATGGGATCATTTAGAACACTCATAAAAATTGAAAATTTTTTAATAAATGTTTTTAATTATAATCTGGTCCTATTGTATACAATAATAATTGTGTTTTATATTATGAATATACATAAATATGTTAAATTTTTAAGTTCCAGAAAAAAATTTTACTTTCTTTTTGTAAACTTTTCAGTATTTAACTTTAATATTTCCCCAAAAAAGTAATTAAAAATTTCTCCTGTTCTCTATTTGGTGTATAACTTTTAAAGAAATCTATTTCTAGTTTTAAAATATTTTTTAATTAAAAAACCCTTAGTAAATTTATAAAAAAAAAAAGAATAAATATAGTTTCAATGTCGATTGCACGGTCCGATAAATTAATAAATTAGTACGTTGTGATATTATTAATGTTAATACATACATTTATAAACTCAATTGTAAAGCTTAAATATCGTTGAATTTTCTACTCTATTTTGCATTATATTGTATCTTTCAATTTAGGTTTATATTAATATAACAATTTCAAAGTCTATAAATGGTTTTCTCAAATAAATATGAGAAACATACAGCACATTACGCGTATGACCCTTTATGGCCAAAAGAAATATAACCAAATATTTTTAATTTTAAAAATTCCTTACAATATTCTAAAAGGATATTAAATGAAATTTATATATTTCCAAATAAATATGCGGCATTCATGGCAATTTTATTAAAAAAAAGATTTTTCAAACTAATCTACATAAATATTATTTTTACTGTTCTTACTGGATCCAATATATTAATAAACAAATAAATGTTTTCATCATCAAACCATTACACATGAGGAAAAGAATTATTTTAAACGAAAATTACAATGTCTCTTTAAAATTTTAATGGTTCACTTGTTATCAGATCATCACGCAAATAATTTTTTAGTTAAAGATCAAAGTAGTAAAAGAATCTTAAGAAGACAAAATCCACCAACCAAAACATAACATTTTCTTTCTATATATGTAAAATGTACCTACCTACTCTAATTTTATAAGTTTTCCTCTTTTTTTTTTGTACAGAAAAATTTTAATTTCTTTTAAATATTCAGAAATGAAAATTATTCAATCATTGTCAATTGGTCGATTAATACACAAGAAACGGTTAAAGAAAATACAAGTAATATTTGGATTAAATATCTTAAGTTGTACAAAATGAATATTAAATCTTTAATAATTTTAACAATTTTTAAATTTTATATAACTACATCTTATGAATATCGGTACGTACCAGAATCATCTGAATTCGATAAAAACCTAATGTATAAATCAATTTCTAATAGAAAAAATTTCGCAGAACGACGTTCTGATTATATTCCAAGATATTTACCAAAATATAATTTAGATTATAATAATAAAATAAATTTAAATAGTGAAAATAATATTAATACAAAAAATGATAAAAATAATAAAATAAATAATAAAAATTCATATGATAAATTTATTTTTGATGATACGAAAATAATTGATTCAAAATTTGATTTACCAAAATTAAGTGAATTAAATAGAATTGAAGTACAAAATAATTCAAATTCAGTTGTAAGTATACAAAGTACATTTATAAATGAAACACATGCAATACCAAAATTTCCAATTTATTTTACAAATCCAACAACTGGTATTGTTTATGCTATCAATGAAGTTGGTTATAATTTTTCAATAATTAATTCAATTCATAATAATAATTTTAATAATATTAATGAAAATTTAAAAGTACCAATTTATATACCAAAAGAACAATATGATAATGATATTAAAAAATTAAAATTAAAATTAAAAAATCAATGTAAACGTTTAATAACAGCTGTACCACCGCCTCAAAAACTTTCCACAGATACAAATAATAAAACAAAGTCAACATTTTATTTTCAAAATAATTTAAATAATAGTATAAATAATAATAATATTAAAGTAAATCCAAATAGAACAAAAATATCAAATGCTTTAACACTTGAAGAATTTAATAAAATTCATCAAGGAACTCATCAGGATGTAATACCAACACAATTTACAATACCAACATTTCAAGTATTAAATATAAGTAATATAAAACCACCAATTGTTAATACATTACCAGAAAGTTCTGAAGAAGAAGATGATGATGATGATGAAGATGGTTCATCATTACCAAATCCAGCCGAAACTATAGGTAATATTATTACTGATGTTTATAATACTGTCGGTAATAACGAAGAATCATCGAGTGAGGAGTCTGATGAAACAATATTTAATCCAAATAATATTGATTTAATTAAGGATAAGATTATTGTTCAACCTATAATAAATTCTAATAATATACCAAATAAATTATATAATAAATTACCATACAATGATTACCAACATTCTCATCATGATCAATTTCATTTAAATAATTTGGATATTTTATCAGAAAATTTTAGACCGATTCCTTTAGTAACAACAACATTATCCTCATATATAAATTTACCAAATAAAAAGCCAAATAAATATAAAAGGCACAATCATACTTTTACAATTACTAAACCAATTAATAAATATAGTAGTACAATTTTTTCACGACATAATAATAATTTTAAAAAGATTAAAACAAATTCCGGCGGAGGATCATTGCACAAAAATTTCGATTATAATTCTGTAAAGACGAATACCAGTTTGAATGCCATTAAAAATATTAACACTACAACTAATATCAATAGTCAAATATTTTTTGAAGAACCCGAAATACTAGAATATTCAGCTTCATTATATGATGACAATTATTTAAATAAAGCCGGAATTTTAGTACTAAAACGCAATGATTCATCATTATTATCAAATTATCAACGGTATAACAATGGCGGCAACTCATATTATGAAAATAATACAACAAAATATCCAAAATTTCATTTAAATAATGAAAATTTCACATTATCAACACTTGGATCCTTAAGTCCATTCGATGCGCCATCTACTTTATCAACACTACAATTAAATGAAGTAAAAAATAATGAAAGAACTCCTAGCGACATTTTTATTGGACTATCTAATGAAATGCATGTCAATTCAAATATTCATGATAGAAGGAGGAAACTGAGTAAGAGATCCTTAAAAAATAATATTGACAGAAATTTAACAATAAACTCATTGCCAAAATTAAATTTTTCAAATAACCTGGGTAAAAATAATTTATCTGAAAAAAATTTTAATGAAACCAAATTTTCCTGGGAGGTTTTAAAATCAGATTTTAAAAAAACTAATTTATCGGACACCACAATATATAACAGAACTTCATCAACACAAAGCAATTCAATCAAACAATCAGAAAAGACTCTAACAAATCCTCAAAAAATAAGATCCACTTCAAATTTAAAAGTTTTATCATCTCATCTCTCATCAACTCAAAATAAACCATGTGCAGATTCTAACAAGATCATTGACAATAAAGAAAATAATGATGATGACAATGATGATGAAGATTATTATGATTTCGATAGTTTACTCGGTCTTGAGGAGGATGATAACGATGAAGAGGATGAAGAATATAATAACAGTAATGAGAAAGGAAATGACAGTGATTATTCTTATATAGATCAAAATGAAAATATCTCCAATCAAATGAACAGTGATGAAGATAATACGGAAGAACCGTTTTCAAATCATAAAAATAATAATTTAATTAATCGCAAAAGAAAAACTATTGAAAAACATAAAAAAAGAAAAAAAATAAAATATAAAAGTAAAACGGACTTGGACGATCCAGATGATGATAATGAGAATCGAGAGGAATTGGATGATGGAATCGGGATGGTTGAATTAATTGATGCTTTCACATATCCATTTCGTTTTGTTTTTAAAAAATTTTTTGAAAAAATTGCAAATTTTGCCGGTTACAAGAATTTAATTAAAGAAAAAAATGTTAATTATGACAGTGAAACATTAAATGATAACAGGAAACCGAAACATCCACCATATACGTTTTATAATAGTTATAATAAAAATGATGATGATGGCTCAGGTACAAGTTGGTTCAGTTCATGGTTCAATTACTGGAATAATGATAAAGTTCTTGTTTCAAATGATGAATCGAATACTGGATCTGGCAGTTGGCTTGATTATTTATTTGGTGATTACGATGAAATAAGAGCAACACAATCAACTAATATTGATGCAGATGATTATGAATATAGTAGTAAGTTGTTCTCCATTTATTAAAATCATATATTTATTTCATAATTTCTTCCTATAAGATTGGTTTACAAATTGGTTTGATAGTTCACCTAATGAAAAAGTACAAAGCTTACCTATAACTACTACAACATCAACATCAGTACCAATTCTGACAATAGAAAATCCAATGAAAAATCCTCAAAAATGGATTGGTATTTTAGCACAACATATTGTTGATTCAACTAGTTCAACATCAGCTGTACCTGTAGTTAATGATGAAGAAGAATTAAAAGAACGACATTATGATAAATATCAAATATGGCGTTTAAAACCAAATCAAGAATCTCAATTAAAAGCTCTTGAACGTTTTAAAAAATCAAATGATGGTATTGAAATGCAATGGTTACAAGGTCCTACTCTAAGGTATGCAAAAGTTAAATATATTTTTATAGTTTTAATTGGCACACATTTTCAGAGGTTTAACCGATGTACTAATACCACATCATTTACTTACAAATTTCCAAGGGACTTTAAATTATGAACAAATCTCTCATGAAGTTTTAATTTATGATCTTGGGAAAGCTATTGCTTATGAAAAAGAAAAACAAAATTTAACTAGTACCAGTAACTCAAAAAAAAAATTACATGCATTTTCTAATCGTTTCTCTTGGACAAAATATCATAATTATGATGAAATTGTTAGATTTATCGAAAATCTACAGGTACAAAATAACGAAATTGTTGAACTATTTCATATTGGACGATCATACGAGGGACGACCGTTAATTATTGTTAAAATTTCTTTGAAAGAAAACCAATTAAAGAAGAAAATGAAATTAAAAGAGAAGAAAAAGAATCGAAATTCTGCTATTTTTATAGAATCAGGAATATATGGAAGAGAATGGATTACACCAGCAACTGCAACATGGATTATTAATGAATTAGTAAAAATTATGAAAAATAATGGTAAATTTAATTGATCAATCAATTAAAATATTTTATTTAATATTTAATTATTATTTTTAGAAACTGAAAAACAAAATGAAATTATTAAAAAAATGACTTGGTATATTGCACCAGTAATAAATCCCGATGGTTATGACTACAGTCATAAATATGATAGAATGTGGCGTAAATCTAGATCGAAACAAATTGTAAAACCTAATGGTATTATAAGTACAGCGATGGAATGGTTTCGCGATACAAAATCAAATAAAATTTGTTATGGAGTTGATTTAGATCAAAATTGGGATTATGATTGGGGTCAAAATGAAGCGTCGAACTCACCTTGTAATGAATTTTACAATGGACCTATTGCATTTTCGGAACCAGAAACGAGAGCACTATCAAAATTTATTATGGATCATAGAAAACAAATCAAAGTATTTAAATAAAATATCCATATGTATATGTACAAACTTTTAATGCACAATTTAATTACATATGTAACTTGAAAATAATTGAACTTTTCTTCACGATTCACTTGTAAATTATATTACAGAATTTACCACGAATAATGTATTAATTTTATTTTTTAGCTTTTCATTTCGTTTAAAGCTTATGGACAAATAATTTCATACCCAAATAAATTTAATACAGCTTTAAAATCTCAAAAACTTGATGAACTTTTAGACGTGGCTATGGTAGGTAATGATGGATTAAGAAAATCTGGAAGTGAAAACCGTTATAAAGTAGATTCCAGTAATGATTTATTGAGCTCAATTTCAGGTATTTAAAATAATTAATACCAATATGAATACATATACGACTATATGATTAATTTCTAGGGTCCTCTAACAGTTTTGCTATGCATGAAGCTTCAATACCATTCAGTTATACAATTCATTTAAGTGATAATGGAGTTCATGGATATTTATTACCCGGATCAAATATTGAATCAACTTCAAAAGACGCTTTTCTAATTATAAAATCAATTTTAGATTATATTTAATTTTTTTTTTTTAACAAATATTAGTTGAAATTCATTATTTATTTTAAATTATTTTAAACTTAAGTATTTTTCGGTAACAAAATTAATAATAAATTTTAAGACAAAGATTTTCTTTGAAATTGTTTCATAAAATACGTTGAATGTAATTATCTAACCACAATTCAAAATTTCGAATATATATTTCTGTATTTTCAATGATATTATTCGCTGGTTGAAATTCAGGTGGAAAAAATTTTCGAAATCCTGGTCCAATAATTCTATTCAATGAATTTTCTGCAATAAATATTGCTCCGATTACATCTATTTTCAAAACTTCGTATCGTAAACTTAATTTTGCAAAAGATTCTGAAAATTGATATAAAGTTGTAAAAGCTCGTTGAGTTAGATATCCTGAGAATTAAATATTGGAAATTATATTAGTATATCAAATATATATTAGTAAATAATTTGTCTATTGAAAAAATAGACCTGGTCTTTCTTTTCTACAAATAACGAAATATTTTTGTAGTAAGTTACTAGCTTCACTCGACATTATAACCGATCGTCTAGATACTATTGTTAAAAATAATTTAATATCATTTTCGGATAAAGATAATTCATCCTCATATTTATTTTGTACTTTGCCAAGAGCTTTTTCAAGTATAAAATTGCATAAAATCGATGATTCATTATCATCTACAATTATTGGTATTCCAAATATCCTAAAAGAAATTACATTTTAGATAATTGTTAAGAATACATGATTACGACAATAGACTTACTCTAAAAATTTAATTAATTTCATATTTTCTTTGCATTTCTTTGGTTCTCCAATCCAATAGGACCATACAGCGCAATGAATTCTGTGTTGTTTATTCGAAAATTCTAAATTCGTTTTACCATATTCAATTATTTTAGATACTTTCCCTTCATTAAAACTTTTTACACCAGACCAATTTCCAAAATATAATACACCACCTCGTGCTAAAAACATTAAACCACCTTCTATCATATTATTATTTTTAAGAAATTCAATTCCCACGAATGAAGTATTGGCTTGAAAACCATTAATAAAACGTTTGCTTACATTTCTAAATTTTATCATAATTTCATTAATAATCGAAGTTTCTTTTCCAATTGCAATTATTGGAATAGGCATTGAACTATCTTCAATAATATCATTGGTAGAAGCTAAACTAAGAATGAGAGCAATTTTAAGAATAATAAAGGAGTTCATTGGAACAATATCTTGACACATTTGAGCAGATAAAGCGTAAACAAATGAAAAATCTGAATATAAATATTTAATTGATTTGTAAAGATTTACTATAGAATTAGGAATCCCGGTATTATTCGATGGTAAGCAAGTATGTACTCCATAAAGTTGATTTAAATTATTAGATGAATGTAGATTTGGTGTTGATGTCAAATTAAGTTGTTGACCATTTTCTGCAAATATATTTCTAAAATGTTCATTATATGCTTCTTCAGAACTATTTAAAACATAATTATTTTCACTTTCTTGTAAGCAGTTATAAGATGGTGATATTTGTATATTAGGAGAAATTCCATTATCAGCATCTTGTTGTTGTTGTGAACTTGAAGTACTCCCAAATGATATGGTATTTGAAAAAACGGGCAACTTATTATTAAATGGAACTGTACCGGATATTGATTTTGAGGAACTCAATGAAAAATCTTTCAAAAAATCCAATGATAAATTATTTTGGTTATTTTGTTCACATACATTTGTTTCAGAAAATGTTTCGGATTTTACATTAATTTCTAATATTCTATCTAGCATATTTTCTGAAACATTTTCAATAGATTTTAAATTGAATAGTGAGGAATAATGTTCCATGCCTCAAATCTATTTTGAAAATTGTTATAAAATAATGTAATTAAATATGATAAACCGAGAATAGGTTCAAAACTTAACAGATATTCTAAAATAAAAAATTTTTTATTAAATAAAATATATTAGAAGCTAGGTATTTTGTAGCTTAATTTCCCAAACCTTTAATGATAACAAAATGACTCTTGAAGAACTTTTCAATTTGTATATTTGTTTCAAAATATTCCATTGGTACTATTTTTATTTCAATTGAATTTTCCGAAACACAAAATTTTGGAACTTCTAACATAATAGCACTGCACGATATACATAATGGAGCTGAATATATTAAGAATTAGTTTAAACTATTAAGAGTAAGTATTTTAGTTACCATTTGTTTCATGTCCTCTATGTATAAATGTACAATTTTCACATTTGTTACAATTCCAAACCGAAAGAATCCTTTATGTCAATGAAACATAAAAAAAAAAATAAATGATTTGAATTGAAATAATTAATAAAGCTAACTTACTTGTGTCCTTTTGGAAGAGTATAACCAATTAATACACCATTTAAAACTCTCAAGCCGAATTCATTTGATAAAAATTTATTATAGAAATTATATTTAACTCTGGGTAGATTTAAAAATTTTATTTGCAAGTATATTTGATTTTTAGCAATATTTACACATTTAATTGTATTTTGAATTATAAAAAATATAATTTCCTCACAAAATTTCAAAAATGTTAATGGTTCTTGTATCGAAAAATTTAAAATAACGGGAAAGTGTTCTAAATCCTCGTACAAAATTTCAATATCAAATTTTAACAATGAAAATTTCTTTTTTGGAAATTGTTTTAAAAAATTTTCTGTTCTTTTGTGAATTATTTCATCAAATTTAATATATTCAAAATAAGAAATTAAATTATCCTTTATTTCCATGTGACAGCTTAAAAAATTAATGTTTTCCAAAGTTCGTTTCTTTCATTACGTTTTTAATAAACCAATTTGATTTAAAGTTTTTATAGTTTCCTCTCTTTTTGTGCGTATAATATATTTCTAGAAGTTTCTTTAAATTTAAATGCCTTCTTACTTGCAGGCATTGGTACTGAAATGAGTTCACAATATGGAATAAATCTTACTATATATGAGAGATAGGCTGTAGGGTACTCATTTTTAGCTGCATGGAGTAACTTTATGCTAACAGATCAAAACTCCATTTTTCTTTTTTCGAAATCTTTTACAGTTATGCTTTAGAGAGAATTTCGGTTATCCAAACGACCAAACGTAAATGAACAATTGAATTACATTTCTCTTTAAAAGAGCAAAAGAAATTTACAACTGACTTTTTAACCACACTACAGTAAAGTTCAAAAATAAATTTTTCATTAAAATTATTTATCATTTTTAAAATTAATTTATGTGTTTATTTCAGGACCATTTAAAATCAATGGCTTAAAAAAATCCACAAGTAGAATATTTTTTGGTCATACTAAGAAGCAAACAATATTGAATTTTCACCTTTGACTAAAAATCAAATCGCTTCATTTTAATAACCTTAACAGAACCATAACATTTTTGAAATTTTGTGAGGAAATTATGGAAATTATACGACCAATCACGTCAAATGATTTGACTAACAGAATATGTGCGATTAAAATATGACAAATATAGATTGCGTACAGTTTAAGGTTAATAAAATGAAAAGATGATAATAAACTACATAATATCTACATAATAAACTTTATCAAATTCAAATTTATTCTTTCTTTAAAAAATTCAATGTACAAACGTAACTTTATTTGGAAATGAATTAGCTATTTGAAACAATAATTTGATTTATGTTTTACTTTTTTTCTTTTGTTTTTTCTCCATATTTTTCACAATTTCGCTTTTATCTAGATTTTGTTGGAAGAAATCAGCTTCTTTACGAGCTTGTGAAATTTCGGCCATTAATCGTTTCTTATATACAGCCTGTTCATATGCTAAACGTTCGCTTAGATGAACCCATTTGAAACTAGGTAAATATTTAATACACCATAAAGAATCTTAAAACAAAAAATATGTTCAAATAATTTTCAATAAATTAAATGTAACTTTAAATCTTACCATAAAATTTAGATTTTTTTCTTGTACCAATTTGAGTGTTATTTAATTTTGCTGCAACTTCTTTAGCTACTCTTTTTTTTAAAAACTCTACCCAACCTTCTGAAAAATGTCTAGCCATATTTTTTCGCTTCTTGGACCGACCTACAATTAATAAAAGGTAAAAAACATATATATATTAAAGTCTAGTTTATCATACACATGGCTGTCTTATCGGGCTGCAAATACACTCTGCCTATATCACCATATTGGCCAAGATACTCTCTTATTAACGTCACATTCATGTGTTTTGGTAAATTTGAAACATATATTAATCCTTTTTTTCTTTTCTTCACTTGTTTTTTATTTTCATCCAAATCTTCATTCAAACCCACGGTTTTTTCTTTTGAAGAGATTTTACTTGAAGTATCAGAATCAGTTTCATGCTTTTGGTCATTATATTCGTTTTCTTTTTTATTTCCTTCCTCCTCAATTTCATCATCATTTTTATTCTTCAAATTATTTATGTCGGAAAAATTGCTGCTTTCCAATGAAGGTTTTTTCTTCTTAGAACTGTTCTTTAAGCCATTTGTAAAAACATTGTTTTCTCCCTGGAATTCATCTTGGTCTTCATTTTTTGAATTATTTATTTCGGAATAACTGCTGCTATTTAAAGAAAACTTTTTCTTTGAACTTTTGCTTAAATTAATTTCCGAGGTGTTATTATCCATCTCGAATTCATCTAGATCTTCATTTTCTAAATTATTTTTGCTGGAAAATTTGCTGTTATTCAGTGAATGTTTTTTCTTTTTGGAACTGTTATTTAAATTATTTCTGACTATGTTGCTCTCTTCCTGGATTTCATTTTGTTCCTCGTTCAAATTATTTTTATCAAAGCTCTTACTGTTATTCAAAGAATGTTTCTTCTTTTTAGAGCTGTTATTCAAATTATTCGTTCCTATTTTGTCATTTTCTTTAACTTCACATACATCTTCGCTTTTCAAATTATTCACATCGGAACATTTGCTGTTACTTAATGAATGCTTTTTTTTCTTATAACTACCATTTAAGTTATTTACCGGAGTTCCACTATTTTCTTGGATTTCTCTTTGGTTATCATCCTTCAAAGTGTTTGTATCAGAACACTTACTGATATTCAATGAATGCCTTTTCTTCTTAGTACTATTATTTAAATTATTTGCTGAAATTTTATCTATCGGAATTGCCTCCTTGCCTTCTTTTAAATTATTTGTTTTGAAACTATTGTTGCCATCCAATGAATTTTTTTTCTTCTTACAACTATTATTTAAATTTTCATCTGGCTCTACCTCCTCTTCTATCCACTCCAGTGAAATATTTGATTTTCTTTTTTTCATTTCAGAATTTCTGATTATTTAAGTTACAATTTGCAAAATTCAAATAATTTGCTTATTATTAATTGAACATTGCCTTGCCACATTTGACGTTTCTTTAAAATGCGATTTAACCTAAAAAAATAAAGAAAAAGAAAAGCCATACAAATATAAGCGATGCCAGCTCAGTTTTATTTTTATGTGTGTTACGATAGCGTGCTCTTATTTTTATTATGAAAATATAAAATTGGGAACAACGAATTTTAACGTTTATACAAAAGATTAATTTTCTACACTTTCCTTACATTTAAATAATTTTTTATATAATAAAAAGAAAACCTTTTAATAATTAAGGCATTTCGATTGAAATGAAATATTTATGTTTTTAATATTATTGTTATATTTTTCGCATGACATAAAGTTCGCCTCTTTTAGGGTACTTTTTTGAAATTTATATTTAAAAATTATCTACTCGATTATAAGATATTGTTTAAATAAAAGCAGAGCGAAAAAAAAAGGATATATGAACAAGGAGAATACACAAAAAAAACCTCGGAGATTTTTGAAGAGTTATTTTGCTACTAAAAATATTGGATTATTAGGCAAAAAACTAATTACGTTTGAATCAATGAAAATTTCATTAATAATTGCCATTGGAACTACGCAAAAAATTGGGATAATTTGACCCATAATATTAGAAATTACTCTTAAGTTTATTTAGAACACGTTCTGTTTTATAACTATTTAAAAATATCTAAATTAGTTTTGAGCATTCCGAAATAATTTCAAAAATTCCTCATATCGAATTCCTATAATATATTACATTTACATACACAAAACTACAAACTAAAAAATTCCATATAAAAGCTTTAATTATGTACAAAAACTTACGTAAAAACAAAAATAGTAAAAAAAAATTGAAATTCATTATTTTGACAGATATTTTTGCTTAAACAAAGGTCAGGTAAAGTTTTTGGAATAGCATCAAAAAACACATCTATTCGAAACTTTAATATTGATATATTCAAGCAATATTGTAATGAAAAAGCGATAATGAAAATGTTGTCAAAGTCATCGAAATCTTTCATCAAGTCATTGAAAATACGTTGAGATTTCCTACCAAAATTTTTGAAAATACCTACACATAAAATGATATTATTAGTTTGAAATTCACACAACTTGTCAAAAAATGAAATAATATGTAAGTGTGGGAAAAAAATAATCTATTCTTTTTAATAAGAGTTAAAATTTAATATGCTCTTGAAGCAACCTAATATTTGCATTTTTCAATATCATTTAAAAACCGTTGTCTCGAATCGTCAAAACAAAAATTAAACTTCTAATAAGTTTTTTTTGTTTTGTTGTTTAATAGTTACTCTTATAATGAAACACTTATATATAAAAATTTCTTTAACTATAATTTTATAATTAAAAATGTGATCTTGATTTTTCGATATTTATTTTATAAATACGGTGGCAACTTCCTAGTAAAGTTTTTATATTTTCATAAATATATATGGCAATTCTTCAATTATTAAAACTGCTAAAAAAATTTGCTAAAGAGAGAGAATGATAATTTTTTAAAAATTTAGTTTATGTTTGAGAGAAGATGTGATCGGTTGAAGTTAAATTTTAAGAAATGTGAGTCGCGTCGCGAAACATTTGAAAAAAAAAAATAAATCTTGATTTGGATTTATATAAACTGTAATTAATAATTTTATATTCAATTTTAAATAAAATAAAATTTTCTATTTTATAAATGTAACGAAAACAACGAACAAGAAAAAATCGAATAAAAAAAAAATCAATCATTTTTAACAATTTCAATTTTAGAATAGCTATATAAGTATGTAGGTATGGTAATGTTCAATAAAACCAGTAACCAGTTTTTGTTTCTTTAATTTAATGATGATGTATAAATGATTGTAATAATTAAAATATTTTTCTATTCAATTAATTAATTTAAAAATTAAATTACAAATTATTTAAAAATTATTTTAAAACAAAAAAAAAATTCACGTTTTTATTTCTAATTTTTGCATTGCAAACGTGTATTTTGTTTTTTTATTTACCTATATTTATTTACCTTTACCTGTGTATTTCAGGCACCATATAAAAAGTATAGAATTTGCTACGTTGCCATAACAATAATACGAATGTTTTTTTGATGTAAACAAAGAAAAAATAACTTTTGACATTTTAACTACATAAATAATAGTAGAAAAAAATTAAATAATAGTGGAATATTACGAATATTTTTATAACATGCACGTTAAATGGAATTTAATAAAACTTGTGCCCGGTAAGAAACAACTGAATTTGCATCATTGTTTAATATCCTTGCGCTATCTACTTTAATATTTTTTTTTGTTATAATACCCAATTGTCCTTATGTACTTATTATACATATTATCGGTGTCTAATTTTTTAAATTTCAACGATTTTTCTACTTATGGTACATAAGAATATACGCTACGCTTATATGAGCAGCTGGTTTATTTTCTGTAAATATATAAATGGTGTTACATACAAACTTATAAAGGAATATAATTTTAAAGGACCCTCCAAAATAAAATATGTTAACAATTTTTTGGTGCACTAAATTTATTTGTCGGTTGTTTTTTATTTTATTTTGTATTCTTATAAATAAGTGCTTAAAATACTTACATAGCTCGGGTATTGAGAAAAAAAAATTGTTTATGTAAATGTGTACAAGAATAATATATTTGGTAGTGTTTGTGTTTAATGGCATGCGATAATTAATTGTAAAATAGTAAAAGTACATAGGTACATGTAAATAGTTATTGCATTAAAACCACAGGTGAGGTATTATAAGAATATAATTTTTAAGCAGAAAATAAGAAAGAAATATTTATTGAAAAGTGTAATATTAAAATTGACTTACATATATCACCAATTAATTCTTATATAAATATGTGCAATAATTGTAAAATATTTTTATATAATAGATTAAATACATAACCTACATGTTTTTGATTTAAAATCGCTATTACATGTTAAATCCGGAGAACTTATTAAGTGTTAACAAAATATCTAAATAAATAAATAAATATTAAATTAAGTATGCCATAAAATTTCTTAGGCTATTATTAAAATTATGATTGTGTAATGAAAAAAAAGTATACATATATTTATTTTTTTTTGTAATTTTTGTATTTTTACTTAATTTATGTAAATTAATTTATGAATTGCAAAAAAAAAAAATTACCAAAATAGTTCTTCAAAAATTGTATATATATATAATTGCACTTATTTAATAAAAAAAAAAATGAAAGTAACAGTTTGTTTTGGTACAATTCGTATCGTGGTTCCATGTGGAAATGGTGATATATTAGTAAAGGATCTTATAAATGAAGCTACCAGAAGATATAAGAAGGCAGCAGGAAAGGTGAGTTTTCGTTACTAATATTATGTTGGTATTTTAATAATTTTTTGAATACCTACCCATTTGCGGGTTACTTACATTTAAATTGAATTTATTTCACCTTTACACTTGTTTTTCAAAAAGAATTGATATTTATGTGCATTGAAATGTATATGTCCACTTACTCTAAATTCAGTGTTTACATTGCTATTCAAAAAAGTAATTGTACACTGTATAAGTAGGTGTAAGCATTAACATATATGGATAAATATGATAAATAAAAGAATCTGATATTATCATTAACTGAGTGCACTGCGTAGGTACCCACTCATGCTCTAAATAACACAAATTCTGGTAAACTTCATTTTATTGGCTTAATGAAAATGTTGAATAAGATTATTGTAAATGACCTTTTAAACACTTCTACTTAAATATTTTAAATTCTATGAATGCTAGTAACGTTCTGGTTGAAATACCTTTAAATATTTAAAATTAATTCTTAGAAAGGACAAGATGGAGACTGTTTTTGCAGAACTGTTTTATTCTGGAGACTGTTATTGAAGGAAAATTTATTAAGCAGTCAATTTCTTTAATCAAAGATTTAAATTTACAAATATCATGTTAAGTTTTGCTTAGATTTTAAGTCTTCATAATGTAAAATCAGCCTATAATAAAGATCAAGTTTGTTTGACGTGACATTACTAAAATGTTGAAAACAACAAGCTCGGCATTTGAATAAATATTGTTTAATTAGGTTTTGCTTATATACGTAAGAGCGCTTAATCAATTTTTGTTGAAAGCACGACATAAGTATAAAATTTGGTGCCATTACAATTCCTCTTTCATTGTATGCAATGCTATCGGTATAAAATAAATGTAACTGAGTGTTGCTACTTATTTTATTTTATTGCCTATAAATTTTAACTTGAATTTGAATGGCTTCATACTTTTTAGTGTCATGGTGTAAATTTTGTTAATATTTAGATTTGTGCGGTTAAATTTGATTTGCTATCTTGTTTTCAGAAACAAAGAAGAAATTCTATTTCCAAATGTTACTTTTACATAAGTGTAAAGTTTTATACAACAGTTTGGAAGAAGATTTGCTTTAATTTATTCATATTTAAGGTCTAATTCAATTATTTTAATTTTTAGACTTACTCTTGAACTTTAAAATAAATTTTGGCTTCTTTAGAATTGAAATTGATCATTTAATGAATTTGAATTATTCTATAATTCAATTTGAAAAATATTGGAAGACTCGTGTCTATAATGCCTTTATAGAAAAAAATACAAAATTCCAATAACTAATAGATAAAAGAAGCGTTGCTTTTGTTAAGAGAACAATTCACATTACTTTGTTTTACAATTTTTATTATTTATGAGTAGGTACTTATATAATATAGTAAATGGAGTGAATATTTGTACTGAGGTACTTTATATGCATGATACAAATTTCATGACACAAAAAATTAATGATCAAATGCATTCACTAAGTATATTTACTTGCTTCGTGTAATTTCTTTGTTTTCTCCAACATATAAAAATATCTAAAGTATATCAGTACGAGTATATGTATGTATATGTAACTATGTATTCGATTAAAAATTGTGAATATTTTCTATTTTTTAAATTGTTTAATAGTTCAATTTTCAATATACAATAAATACATATTTAATTTTTATTAATTAAATTAAGAAAATGTAAATTTTGTATTTTTAATTCCACCATGAGGGA